TTTTAATTTCTCCTTAGATGTAAGCACTTGAATGGATGTAAGCACCAATTAATTGTCTCCACACTGAATAGGCAAAACTTGACTGCACTGAAGTTTGGGTGCACAGAGGGATCCACAACTAAAAGAAAAGCTACTGCAAAGTAGTATAAACCTGTCTGGAAAGCAGTCTGTCCCAAATCCCTTGTTCTTGTGACTTTCCGTCAAAGGCAGAGACGCACCCAAGTTCAGTTCATAATTAGTGATTGTGTTATAGCAATGCCACAGCTGAAGAAGATGTTTTCACAATGTCAGATAACTGATGGGCCATAGTGTTGTGAATGGCACTGACAAACACTTTAGGCTGGAATTTCCCAAGGAACCTAAGCAATTGTTATGTTTGCAGCATGCAAATGAGGGCTTGTGTACATTAACAGTTGGTGGCAAGCTGAGATGTTAATCTACTCCATGCTGGTTTGCTGCAAATTAGTAAATGCTCATGTGGACCCTAGGAAAGTTCTTTTTGTGCTTTGATTTACTCTCATTTCAAAGGGGGGGAGAAGGGGAGACCAAAATACACTACAGAACTTACAGGGTGTTGTATGTGGTAGGATGCTACTTATTTCTTAAAATCCAGAATTGTAGCACACGCAAACCAAAACACAGAGAGAAAAGAGGCTGCTCCATACAGCAGAGAAGCACAACTCATCCACGCCTTATTCTAGACTGGCTCTATAAACTGACTGAAAAAAATCCAGATCATGTTTTCCTACTGAGTACTTGGCCTGCAAGCAGGACCAGGTAGATGCCATAAAATTTAAAGGGATAATTTTAGCACAGTTTTCAGTACAGGCAGTCCCCGAGTTACGCGGATCCGACTTACGTCGGATCCGCAGTTACGAACAGGGCCCGTCTCCCTGGTCTCCAGCAGACCAGGGAGAGGAAGCAAAGCGGCGGAGCGCGCGGGCGGCGGGCAGCCCGGATGCGTCTGGGCTGTCTGCTGCCTGCGTGCTCTGTGGCTTTGCTCTGCTTTGCTCCCCGTCTCCCTGGTCTGCTGGAGACCAGGGGGACGGGGAGCAAAGCGGCGGAACATGCGGGCAGCGGACAGCCATGGTTCAGGACCAGGGACCTCCCCTGGCTCCGCGTGCTCTGTGGCTTTTCTCTGCTTTGCTCCCCGTCTCCCTGGTCTGCAGACCAGGGGGACGGGGAGCAAAGCCACGGAACACGCAGGCAGCGGACAGCCCAGACGCGTCCGGGCCGTCCGCTGCCCGCGCGCTCAGCGGCTGAATCTGGACGCCAGTTCCGACTTACATACAGATTCAACTTAAGAACAAACCTACAGTCCCTATCTTGTACGTAACCCGGGGACTGCCTGTGTATCACAAGGCTGATGGTTACCTACGTACCCATTGCGGATGACACTAAGCTAGGGGGAGAGGTACACTGCAGGGTAGGGACGGGGTGCAGAGTGACCTAGACAAATTGGAGGATTGAGCCAAAATAAATCTGAGGTTCAACAAGGACAAATGCAGAGTCCTGCACTTGGGACGGAAGAATCCCAAGCATTGTTACGGGCTGCGGACCGTATGGCTAAGCAGCAGTTCTGCAGAAAAGGACCTGGGGATTACAGTGGATGAGAAGCTGGATATGAGTGAACAGTGTGCCCTTGTAGCCAAGAAGGATAATGGCATATTAAGAGGAGCATTTCCAGCAGATCTTAATCCCCACTCTTCCTCCAGCATCCCAGAGTGTCCTGAATGCCATGGAACTGCTGCTTATGGCAGGTGGGAGGCACTGGGAGGGAGGGGAATGAGTTGACCATCAGGGCCAGCAGCAGATGAAAGGTGCTAGAGAGGGTAGCTACCAGTGGGTGTTGAGTACCTGCTGATTTTCCCCCGCTCCCTCCCCCTTAGGTTGTTCAGCCCTGGAGCACCCACAGAGTTGTCACCTATGATTGAGATTGATAGGTGTGAATGCACCTTGCAGTTGCAATAATTATAAGTATAAGCCATTTGATTCTGTCCAGGAGTTTTGCTGAATAATGTTTTAGGCACAGACGAGTTAGGTTGTGGGAGGGGAGGCCAGAGGGATACATCCAGCCCAAGGGAACAGCTGAAAGCATGGTGTATAACCTGAAAGACCTCTGAGGAGAGGGTGTAGGCTGAAAAGGCTGTTGTTGGTTCTGTGAGCAAAAGAAGGTATTTCCTGCTATTTTATTCTGCATTTAGAAACCCCGTCAGTCTTTGTAAAATAACAAGGTTTCTTCAAAGAAATATCAGAGTATTGCAAATTTCTCGTAACTGAAATGACCTCAAGTTCCTATAATTTGACTATTCACTTGTATCAAAAAAATAGGCAATTCTCCTAAGTGTCATAAATATGAACATTTAATCTAGAGGTAAGATGATGAACAAAGGAATTATATATTGTCACTTTTAGACATCTGACTGTATAATCACATTTTTAATTAGTGTGTGTAAGAATCAGCCTCTCCAATGGTAAATGCAAAATATTAACTGTTTTAGGCATATTGCAGTTCATGAATGTGGACATGGCTGCTTTCAATCTTGAGGCATATTTCATTTGTTTGAAATTCTATTGCTATGGGAGAGGTGGAGCCATACAACGGGAGAGGTGAAGAGAGCCTGTCCCATTGGTTATTGAGAGAGAGAGACTTTAACGGTTACCTCTATTTTCTGAAGATGGATCTAAAATATTTGTTTCTTAAGAATTGATTTTTCTAATAGTTAGGATAGGAAGAAGTAGATAAACATTCTTAATTTTTGTATTAACCTACATTTTTACAAATAACTCCTTTTGTCTCTCCCAAGATTAACATCATAGTTGTGCAGCTTTCAGTGAATTCAATCTCAGAAAGGGAGCTGAATGCAAAACTCAATATGTGGTACAGTGGAAGAGAGAAAGCTACAATTTTTAGTTGAAATAAAACTATTTAAGCTATTTAAAACAAATAAATTGAAATAAAGCAAATTTCATATTACTTAATACTGCATGCTGGAAATCGGAAACATGCCAAAATGAAATCTCTCCAATTTATGTAAACTTATGTTATCTTAATTACTGTATGTTTCTTACTCTGTCCTAATCAAAAATACTAATTGGCATGGAAGTTGAGGGTTTTTTTAAATGATTAGTACAAGGTGAAGGGCTAAAATGGATGAAGTACCTAAATCCTTTCTAACAATTTCTAGTGAGCCTTCCTTAACTTTAGACCAAATTTATCCTTGATGTTAATGGTGCAAGTTACAGCTGAGATGAATGTGATCCCTTGCATGCAGATGATGTTGAGACCTGCAGAACAGGTGGGAGCTGCCTCAGCTGGCACGCTTGGGACCTGAGAGGTCCCAATCCATGGAGTTTGCTTTACCGGGGAGGCCAAGGCTCCCCTACTGACTGTCGGTCCTGCTCCTGGGTGTCAGCCTGGGCCACTGGGCTCAGCTCCCAGCCCTTGCAAAGACCGCGCTTCCCGCCTCCAGCCCTACTGGCACAGCGGGGAACACAACCGCAGTTGGAGGCAGGGCCAGGAGCAGTGGCCAGGGCTGGCACTCAGGGGCAGGACTGACAGTCAGTAGGGGAATCTGGACCTCCCCTGGTCTGGCAAACTCCATGGTTCAGGACCACTCAGGTCCTGAGGGTGCCAGACCAAGCAGGTTTCCACCTTTAGGTTGGCCTTCTGTCTGGCTGCTTTTTTTCCTCAGGATTTCATTCCATCATATTCCACAGGATTCTTCTAGACCGAAGCCAGTACCTTTTACTTCCAAATCCTCGTGTATCAAAAAGCTTTGCCACATTAAATTAGTAAACTAATAGTAGTAGACTACTTGATGACACATGATTTTATATTCAATGAGAAAAAGCTAGTTTGCATTCTTGGTGTAAAATGTCTCGTATAGCTACGCTGATGGGGTTACATTGAGAAATTTTCATGTCTAATCTTACGGCTGTTCCAGTTTCCAACCATGAAGTGCTAGAATCTAGTCTGTGCCTTATTAAGTATGTTTGTCTTAATAAGTAGGGGGAGAGGCAAGATGAATTTATAAATCTGAATTTTAAAGTTTTCAAATGCATGGATTGCAGACTTGTTTTTTAGGGACATCAGGGAGAGTTGTGTAAATTACTAGTATTTTCATTTTTTGGTTAATCTGCAGAATAATTTTAATGGTATCTACACTAGAAACAGTTGAGTGCAAGGAAAAGTATTTTGGACTATATGCTGAACTGCATTCTAACGTGGACTTGCATGAAATGTATTAATGTAGATGTACTTTAACCTTATACAACTACTATTTAAGGTATTTCATCTAAAGTAATTATACTATTTTTCTCAGTAAAATAAACTAATAATAATCAACTTTCTTTATACCTCCTCCTCAAAGCCTGTTTTCTGTTAGCGCCAACATTTGCTCCACTCCACTCAACTTTTTAAAAGTAAAATGCAAAAACATAGTCTTATGATGACCATAGTGTAGATCCTGTTCCCTTGCTTGTTTTTCCCAGGGCAATGTCAATCTAACCTCCTATCTGCAGATGCCATATTGCTTATTAAAGCATCACACACTCGTGTGACAGTTCTTCAGAGTAGTTCACAAACTTACCTTCATTTTCAGCACATCAGAAGTAAGTAAGATTGTATGGTACAAATGAAGCAAGAGGTACACTGGGAGCAATCTTACTACAGACTCAATTTGTTAGTTCTCTGTCCTGAAGAACTTGAGCAACATGCAAAAATGAGGAGGTCAGCAAGGGTGATTGAGCGGGATTAAGGGTAACCAACTGTTCAAATAGTTATTGTCAGAATTTCATCTTGTTTCATTTCTTCCATCCAGTGGGCTTTTCCAACTCTTTCCTATCAGCCTGGTGCTTGATTCTGATCTTTGTCAGTCAGTAGCAAACACTAGCAATTGAAATGCTCTGTAATATTAGTCTCCCCAGCCCTAAATTACACAGATAGAGACGCAAGTTTTAATATGCTTTTAAGTGATTTTTTTTCTGCCACTTTCTAGTCCTATTGCTACAGGTATCGCTGTGCAGCTCGCAGCCAAAACACTCCTGATAGTTCTGCTTCAAACCTGGGATTCCGCTGTGCAGCAGATACACTGCCAACTTTACAGTGACTGAACTTGTTGGTGCTCTGAAGCCACAGGGAACTGAAAATTTCACTCCCACAAGAGGAGTTTAGTGGAGCTCCAGCCTGCTGAGAGATTCTGCAGTTACCAGTCTCTAGTACAAGAGACAAGATGATACCAAGCTAATTACAAAAGAAATTGGAGAAAGTGAACTTGCAAAATACGTCAATGTTAGTTGGAGACATTTAATTCTGTAACCAAACTTTGGAGAAGTTGGGTTGAATTTCCATCTTTGCTGTGCAGATGAAAACTTTGAGTTAATTCTGTTGATATCATTGGAAATATACAAGATTTACACCTGCTAAGAACTAACCAGAACCATTTTAATAAGGATATTTTTTTGTTTCAAATACTTTTTTCTCCTCTACAGAAGATGCTCTTTAGTACTGAGTAAGTATTTTATGATGGATTTACCTCAGTGATCCAAACTCCTCATCAAGGCTTTACAAACTTTGGGATGAGTGAAAGGAAAAGCTGGGCTTTTGTAGCAATATTATTTACATGTTACATCTTGAGTAATATAGGATGCAGGTTGTCAACTACAATTGAAAATTTAAGGATGGAAAATAAACATTCCACATTATCTATAACTTTTCATTGGCAGTTGGCTATGCCCTTGTAGATTTTAGGCTACCTGCAAATTTGGTATAAAAATGTTGTTTAGCTCTTATATTGCATTCCTGTTCTGAAAAGACCATTGTTCAGGGAAAAAGTAGCAACTTTTACCATTATAGAAAGTGGCAGCTTTATTAGAACAGGGATAATAGTCCCATAATGGCAGAATCCATTATATATACAGGCTTAAAGAATTAAACGCTTATTTTCTGATACTGGAAACTTGTGGCAATAGAAACACATGGACGATTCCCTTTAACTTCTATTTACATTGTGCAGATTTATTTTGGGGGCTTCAGGGTATTTATTCAACCTGGTGTTTTCCAAATTGTCTTTGATAGTGAATGGCTCTGCTTATATGAAAGGTTGAAAGATTCCCATGAAAAGATGGGAAGTTTGAAGTGAATGGAAAACTTTCAACTTGTCTTCAATAAGTTTCAAACTATATTGAAAAATTCAGTGGTAGGTAAATGTCAGATTAAGTCAGTGAGCTTGAGTTCTTCATGCTAAAATACACTTGTGCCTTTCTTCTCTCATTTGCTTCACACTTACCAGCCTAGTACTGCTGATACTAGTGGACAGACAGCCCTAGGAACAGATGGAAAAATTTTCTTGTCAACCACTTATTCTTTATTTTAACCAACCTAATAAAAAACTTTCTTGTTTGCAGAGTATTGAGAATAAGCTCCGAACCTAAACATGACAGGCCCTTTAGACATGGGTTCTATTTGCAGCTGTTCAGCAGACTGTGATCTAGGACCAGTCATGTGCCTTAATCTCCCCCCCTCCCCCATGCAAAGGTGCATAAGCCTGATTCCCATTTTAAAGTGCTTTGAGATCTATGAATAAGACTGGGTAAGTGTATTGTAACAGCAGTGTTTTGTATTATTTGTTTCCAGCATTTTTTGCCTATAATTTATTATAGGTTGGAATTAAAATGCAAAGCCCTTGTCAACTTCTGTCCTGGGACAGTGAGTTACTCACCAAACAAAAAGTATTACAGAGGGTATTCCTATCAGGGTGCCAGTGCATCCACACACACATTGCAAACCTCGGTGACATAGGAACTAAAGTTATACTCGCACCACAGATTAAAATTCAGCATAAGCCATTAAAGTATAAACATTTTCCAATGCCAAGTGCCATGCCATGTCATGTAATCATAGGAAAAAGCGGTGGCAATTTCAAGCTAGAGTTTAGTAACTGTACAGGCAGGTGTGTATCCAGAAGTCCCCTACTAATGGATAGATCCACCAAAGAAAGCAACAGAATGCAACTATTAAAACTTCTCTGAAACATCATCAAAGTTCTATAACCTATCCTAGATACTGATCCCTTGCTGTCACGGATGTTGGGAGGCAGGCCACTCCTCACTTCCAGGCAGCCCCCGAGCCTGAAACACATACTCCCCTCCAACCATATATCCTACAACAGACATGCTAACCCAGGAACCAGTCCCTGCAACAAAACCCGTTGCCAACTCTGTCCACACATCTACCATAGAGACACGATCACAGAACCTAGCCATATCAGCTATACCTATGCAATCAAAGGCTTGTTCATCTACTAATGTGATACATGCATCTCTGCCATGTACATTGGAAAAACTGGACCATCTATGGATGACACAACGGTAAGATACAAAAAACTGTGGCAGAACATTTTAACCTTCCTGGACACAGTTATAGACTTGAAAGTTGACATTCTCAAGCAAAAAAACTTCAAAACCATGCAGCAGCCTGAAGATGCTGAGTTGGAATTCATATGCAAATTTGACACCACCTGAATGGGTCTGAATAAAGAGGGAATGGGTCACTCACTACCATAAATACTTTTCCCCTTAGGTATTCTCACTACCTTATCTACATCCACCCTGACTGAATTAGCTCTCATGTAACGTTCCCATCTCTGTAGCCCCAGTAGCTGTTTTTTTCTCTTTCTCTTCGTGCATCTGATGAAGTGAATGCAACTCATGAAAGCTTATGCCATAATAAAATTGTTAGCCTTTAAGATGCTACCTCCTTGTTGCTGAAACAGAGTAACAGGGCTATCTCTGAAAACAGCTGTATATAGTAAACACTGTACTCAAGACAGTGCATGCACTGAAGCAAATGGGAAAGAAATGCTGTGTCCATCTCAGTTCAAACTTCCCATGCTTTCATAGGAATGTCTGCCTTGCAGAAAGGAGTATGTTTTAGTGAAAATACTTTGGAGGCATTGTTACTGGTGAACATTATTTATATTATAAAAATGAAGTATATGGTTCTGAAACTTTGAAAAATCAGTGGAATCCCCATCTCTGAATGACAGCTTCGGACTAATGCTTATTTAGTAGTGGGGCATATTAATCAAGATTTACTGTCCCATGAGTGACCTAGGTGTAAACTTTCTTCTGCTGGTCTTTCATTGATAGTTTAACTGGTTTGTTTCCTATAAACATCATTATATTCTTACATCAGTTGATCAAAAGATTGATAAAATGATTAAACTAAACATTCTGTAAACTGAGGTTTTTGTGTTGCTATTCATTTTAATAATTACATTATTTTAAAAAGTCTGGTGACTAACAGCTTCTTGTTGTTGTATGGTGGTGTGCTAGTAGTTACATAAGATTTAAAAATAAACTTGGAGGAAACATTAATTTAAAAAGCTAACAATTTCTCACATTATGATATTAACACAGGCAGTTGAAAGATTTGGTGTTCCTTATCTTCCTTGATATTTGTTCATATTTCTACAATAAATAATAGTACAAAATATCCATTTTTATTCTTGTCATATGGCTAAACAGTACCACATCCATATTTTGCATGGGATTAAAACCTCTTCAATTTGTTGACAACTTTGTTTAGCAAAAGTCTGAAAATTTGCCCCTTAGAATATCATGAAAACATCCCATGTTCAATCAACAATTCCTACAGAAATATTAGTTACAGATATAGAAATGAAAGAATTAACCCAGAAGTTTGCAATTTCTGACAGGATTAATATTGTAACTAAATCACTTGTATTTCTAACCAAAACCACCCCTAAGCATTTGTAGACCTTGCCCTTATAGGGTACTTGTGGGTTCTTGGCTGTCAGCAAAGTATTAATGCATTGATTCAGCAAAGCACTTGTGACTTCAGTGGCATTTCAGCATGTGCTAGAAATTAAACACAATTTAAGTGCTGTACTGAATCATACCCAAAGTGGTATCACTTTACCTACAAAATCTGACTATTCTTACAGTTTCTTTTAGACAACATTAAAGTATGCTGACTCAGCAAGGTGTGTGTGTGTGTGTGAGAGAGAGTGAGTGAGAGAGAGAGATAGAGAAGACCCATTCAAGTTTTTGGGCCTTGATAAGCCCACAGGTGTCCACCCTCTCAGAGTTTGCAAAATAGGGCCCTAAATCTGACCTTTTGTAACCCTTTTTATTATTGAATGAAAGGAAATTGTGATTAAGCCCAAAACAAACTCTAACATGTAAATCAACCTCCCCACCCCCCTGCCATAAGGAGTCCTATGGCACCTCAAAGACTAAGGGTACATCTATGCAACACTGTTTTGGGATACCAAGTATCCTGAAATAGCTATCCCGCATCTTCACATCTTCCGATGTCCCTGTAAAACCTCATTCTATGAGGAGTAAAGGATCTTTTGGAATAGCGCTTTTTGAAATTTGGTGCAAATGATTAAATAAGCTATTACGAAATAGCATCAAAATAAGATATGCAATTTTCATAGCTCAAATTGGGTACCTTATATTGAGTCAAGGTGCAGTGTAGTCTCACCCAACAGATTTATTTGGGCATAAGCTTATATGGGCAACAACTCACTTTGTCAGATGCATCTGGTAAGGTAGGTATTTGTCCACTTAAGCATATGTCCCAATGAATGTTAGTCTTTCAGGTGCCACAGGACTCCTTGCTTTTTGTTGCAGATGCAGATGAACATGGCTACCCTTCTGATACTGCTCTTTAAAATGGGACTCCTCTGAACCACAGATGAACGTTGCACTCAGGGTTGGAATTTAAACTGTTGGTCTTTGGAGGTGTTTGGATTTGGTCCATTATTTACATGCATGTTGAACTATGAGTTGGCAAATCAGATTTTGTGGAAGGCCTTATTCCAACAGGTTGATACTATTTATAACACAGTCTTCAGAACTCTTACTTATTGGATATTTATTACTTGAAGATCTTACATGAAATTTATAGGACTAGACTTAAAACGCTGTATGGCGAATACATTTCAATCTTTTTTTCAGTCCTCTTGGAGAGAGAGAGCACGCACGTATTTAGGTAGCCTTTATTCATCCAGGGAAAACAGCTGTAGTACAGCAAAGATCCACATTTTTGTCCCTTTAGCACTTACTTGCCATTAAAGTTGTTAGGACCAAATGACAATGTACTACTTTGATAGAGATATAGCAAATTATTTCTTTGTTTTTGAATCCTTTTGAAATTGCATGTATCTTGTTGAATTCTTAGATCACTCTCACCAGAAACAAAGATCTACTGGCAAGGACTAAAAGTAAAGAAAGACAATTACATGCAGTTACAAGACTCAGCTGTGTCCTCTGGTTCTATGCCAGTCATACAGATTTGATATGATGCATTAACACTTTCCCAAGTATTTGGAACTTTGCCAAATATCTTCAGAAGAGGGAACTGGAAGCAGTGCAATTGATCTTGAAAGCCCATCTAATCTTAAGGGATGAAAAATACAGTGCTATGAGAATATTACAGCAGTAGTTGAGTGAGAAGTAGGAGGTAGATTGGACCTCCTTTTAATTTACATTTCCAAAAACACCAACTAAAAGTGACAGGCATAATACCATTGTGGGAGAAAGAGACTTCTTAGCCCTTACTCTGTTTTTTGGTGCAATGTTTAAATGAAACCACAGTGGAGACTAGGATGCAGAATCTGTGAAACTTCTTGCCATGTAGATTTCTCCTAAGGGTACATCTACACAGTAGTGTTATGTCAGAGTGAGTGATGTTGTTCTGAAATGTTATAGTGGGAGTCTAAACTACAAGCTTTTTTAAATAATGTCGAGCTGGAGGACTTCTTCCTCCAACTTATGGTAAGAGTGTTCTTCAACTTCCTGCTGTGTAGACAGCGCCATAAGCCGAATTAAGCTATTTCGACTTAAGCGACACAATTTATGTAGCTGAAGTTGTGCAGCTTAATTTGATTTTAGCCCTAATGTGAAGACATACTCTAAGTGATTAAGGTATAAACACTGTTACCAAAGTGCCAGTTACTGAGCTTATCGTTTTGCTCATATCAAAGAATGGAGATCTTAGGGTTAACATAGAAATCACAAAAATGAATAATTAGATATGCTCATCCATTTGTCTATAGCATCAGCCGTATTCCTAATCACATGTAAAATCCACTTAAGTTGTTCTCCACAGCCAAAATTCTAGAACAGAGTGAGAATAAGGAGAAAGTCCAGCACTTAAGTGTGTGCCAACAGCATAGCAAAGAGCAATTAAATTCCCTTGGCCCCTTATCAGTATCAAATAATGATTAAATTCCAAACAGTCCTCATCATAAGAAAAATAGTGTCACTAGTGATTTATGGTGATTAATGCATCTGCCCTCAGATGGAAAGTTTGTAGTACACGCATTGTGCAAAAGTGTTATGAATATAGGATGTCAAACAAGCATACTCCTTGATCAGATTGGCTATTTATATACAGTAAAACTCCAATTGTTCGGCACTCCTGATAGTCTGGCACCAACTGGAACCTGGAAGTGCTCCAGCCAGCCGGACAATTGGAGCTCCTTTGAGCCCCACGTGTACTCATGGGCCGGGAAAGGGAAGGGGAGGAAAGCGGAAGGGGATTATACCCCCTGTGACGGGTCTACCGGGACCCGCACTGTGTCTGGCTGGGGGGCGGGGTCAGCGGGGAACAGCGCGAACCCTCCACCCTTTTGCAGGGAGGTAGGGGGAAGCCCTGCATAGCTGCCTGCTACTGGCCACCTGGGCCTGCAAGCAGCAGCGGCAGAGCGGGGGTAAGGCGAGGGGTGGTGCTGCCAGACCAACCGGGCAGCACCCCAGCTGCTCCGCTTTGCCGCCTCCCCCAGTCTGCCACCGCTACTGCAGCCTCAGCTGACCTGTTGCCAGCAGCTGCACGGGGCTTCCCCCACCTCCTTGGAAAACGGCAGAGGGTTTGCCTCTCACCGCACTATTCCCTGCTGACCTCCCCCTTCTCCCCCCCACACACACTCCACCAGTCGCAGTGCGGGTCCTGGCAGACTCGTCACAGCCCCCGCCGGAGTACCTCCTGCTACTCTGGCATATCTGATAATCCGGCACCCCTTGGGTCTCAAAGGTTCCAGATTATTGGAAGTCTACTTTATTTCTTTATAAAATTCTCCTCACATATATGGGAAAAGAAACAAGTAATTAGGTAATATTAATAGACTGTTAGCTGATGGCATACATACAATTCCCCACAAAATAGAGGAGTTCTACTATGCTCATAAAGGGTTTTTTGTGTTTTTTTTTTTTAATTGGGAAGTGGTCCCCTCCCAAGAATTTTTTTAGCTGAAACAGTGTGATCTAATGCTGATAAGGAAAAGCAATAGAGACATGTAATAAATAAAATGAAAACACTTCCGCTGTCTGCTATATCACATTTACTGAAGTAGTGCTCTGGAACAGGCAATGGTAGCACTGTTGTGATAAGATTAGACAGCTCCTTAGTCTTTCCATTGTGGCACATAGTTTTCCCAAACTTGTTCTGCCAAGAAAGACAGTAATGTACAAAAACAAAACACCCACACAAACACACCCACTGTCTGGGAATTGTAGTAACACCCCTGTACGTTTTGTTTCATTGTCCTGTATGCAACTAGTAAGAGAGCCAGTAGTGGCTGCTGAATGGAGAAAGATTATTATTTTTCCCATTTGTGTAGTTTCTTCTGTTCAGGGCCTAACTTCTTTCTTACTGAAGTAGGATGCTCTTTGCCAACACCTGAAGCCTTATCCTTAGAGATCCTTGGCTGAAAGGTACATTAGAAATTCAAAACTACTTTCACTCAACTCATAGTTGAGGCTATGTTACATTCATGTCACTTACAGCTATGCCAATAAAATTGATGATTTTGGGATATGAAAGTTTAATACAAGTTGAAATAATGTACTGCCAGTAAGTGCTTTTGGGCTTAACCATTTGGGCTTTTTTAATCTTACTGATTACGTCTAGACTGGCATGATTTTCCGGAAATGCTTTTAACAGACAACTTTTCTGTTTAAAAGCATTTTTGGAACAGAGCGTCTAGATTGGCACGGATGCTTTTCCGCAAAAAAGCCCCGGTCGCCATTTTCGTGATCGGGGCTTTTTTGCGGAAAACAAATCTCAGCTGTCTACACTGGCCCTTTTGCGCAAAACTTTTGCCCGAACGGGAGCAGCATAGTATTTCTGCAAAAAGCACTGATTTCTTTCAGTAGGAAGTCAGTGCTTTTGCGGAAATTCAAGTGGCCAGTGTAGACAGCTGGCAAGTTTTTCGGGAAAAGCGGCTGATTTTCTGGAAAAACTGGCCAATCTAGACACAGCCACTGTGTCTTGAATGTCGTCTGTGCATTACTCCAAAATTGTACAGAGTGAAATTGCAGGTAGCTTGATTGAGTTTAAGGGAGAGTATTGTCAAAAAGTGAAATTAGGTAAAGACCAGCACCTCAGTGAGTAAAAACCCAAAGCTAGTTCCTTTCTAAGATGGACTGATGATACTCCTTTTGCAAAATGACAACTGGACAACTCCAAGGTTATGTTTTGTCAGTGGAGGTGCTATCTGGCTACCACCCTTTAGAAAAAGAAGAGTAGCAAATTAGGATGTGTGTTTAACTTGTTACGGTGCTGACTTCTGCAACAGGACAAGTAGTATTATTGAAAATACAAACATCTTTACAAACTTAAAAGTACAATAGTGTGTCACCCACTATTTATTTTTAAATTAAGCAAACACAGAACTAACTTTTAATAACATCTGTCCTTAGTGTTCTTTTCTTAATAGTGTTAGGCAGAAGTGGCCTCCTCTCTGGCTGTTTTTCATATGTCCAGATTGTGAAGGATGTTGTCACTGACCATTGTTTCCAGTCCTCCCTTTTACTGCTGAAAATCAAAGTATGAATTTACAATACAGCTTCTCAGCCACTGTGGTAAGTAGTAGCCACCTTGCTGATGGTTCACCAGCAGTGGAATATTTTACCAGCAGTTGCTCCAGAGTAAAAACACATTTGTTCATAAAGTTATTGGACAGACATGTATGTTTTGAAGACTGATATTTAATAGATACTGAGCTCATGTTAATTAAATGTACACCGTAAGTTCAACAATTCAGCAAGCTGAGCCATTTCTAGTACATATTGTATTAAAGAAAGTATACATTAAAATGCTCTATAGACAATGGATTTTTGTGATGTAAAATGCAGATTTAGACTTTTTAAAAATACAGTTAAATTTGATGTACTGACAACCACCCTTCTATCTTGTTCTCAAACAGTACAACAGGTTCATCAGGTCAATCTCACCACCCAAATGCACAATAAACAAAACATTAAAAATAAGATAGTCCAGCAGCCAGAAATAAGCAGTGCATAGTTGACTAATTGCCTTACAGATTTCATCACAAAGATAATGCTCATTTCCCAGTGTTATGAACTTGGGAGGCACAGGAAACGGGGGATAAAAGATAGTGAGAGAAGATACGGGACACTAAATCTTGAAACTAGCCCAAGTGAAACAGACTAGAGTTGAAGCATGCTACAAACAAAGACTTTATGGAACTACAGAAAAGGATTCTACAGCAGGCATGGACAAAATACAGCTCATGGGCTGGATCCAGCCCACGGATGCTGCAAGGAGTCCCAGGTAGGCTCCCCACTTGCCTCGCCCCATCCCCACACCACTCAAAAGTGGCTGTGGGGCAGTTTTTCTTTAAAAACTGAGAGTCCCAAAGGGCTTACTATATCTAAGCACCACTATCCTTCCTATCTGCAATGGCAAAACTCTGCTTCCCTTTTTCTTCATCACCAGAGGCAGAAAAACAATTTAGTTTGAGAGGCAAAAACAAGCTAACAATAAAACATCTGACTGCATAAAAATGGTAGAAAGGACAAATATTAGGAAAAAAAATAACCTTCTCTCTACCATCTGTTGAACAGATGCTTTTTCATAAAGGTGTTGTATATTAGCATCTACCACTTCAGTCTGTTTTGCCAGACACACAGGTAGTGTATTGTGTTACTTCACAGAGCGGAGTTAGGCTTTTCTGCCCACTCCCTCAATTATTTTGCCAACACCAGTTGGAGAAGCATCACTGAGGTAATGTGTGCTGTTTCATAGGAAAGACTCTGCAGCTACACTGGTGCCCTCTTGTGCCTAACAGAGCCTATGCCAGAGTCAGTTGAGAAAAAAGTTGAATGATAACAGGAGAAAATGCAATGTCAGTTGTTCATAGAATTAGCTTCTTAGCCAGCAACAGTCAACAAAGGTGAATAGGAGAAGCTGGCAAAAGTTGGGGGAGAAGGAAATGAATTTTACATAATATTTTTACAGAAAAGTCTGAAATAGCAGGGGCTCAGCTACAGCACTGAATTAAAAAAAAAGTGACACCCAATTTTCAAAAAGGTTCCAGAACCAGCAAGGCTGGGTGTATTAAGCTGTTTTTGTTTTCAGGGTCTAACAACTGCACACATTAAAAATAAAAAGCTGGGACCACCTTTGTAAATGTCATGGTTAATGTGCACCTGTCATCTTGATTTTTTTTCCAGCTTTACTTCTGAAGTGACTTAGATAAATGAATCATCTCCCCAAACCCTTTTTTCTGCATCTGTCATTAAAATTCAGTCAGTTTTTATGTCTTGTACTATACACTTAAAAGAGGTTTGAGATCAAAACCTTCAACTGCCCTTTGAGCTGTGGCAAGGTACCTAAGCTTCCTTGTTTCAACAGGAAAAGATTAGCTGTTTAACCTTCTCTTGTATCATCCACTTTGAATCAAGTTGAGCATACAGATTATTCGGTATGTTATTTGAGGACGTTGTCAGGACCTCTAAAGCCTTGGTTTTTGGCCAAGGCTGGCTCTAGAAATCCAAGTAGTAAGGCAGACTGCAATTTCCTTTCCTGAAGACAGATTCAACCCCCCCCCCCCGGCATATACTAGCTAACATGGTGGGATGCAGCCCTTTTCACCTGCCTTGGCTTCTGTTTATTTTGCACCATGAGTGCCTCTTCTCTGACTTCTCCTTCACCTGTTAAGTAAGTATTAACCCTTAAAGCAATTTAAGGTTATGGGCTGTGTCCTGACACATTTCCCACTTTTCCCTCCCACATCTTGTCAATAAACTTCTATCCTTGCTATGATTGCTGCTGCATGAGGCTGGGGCCCTGTGGTTATTTTGTGGTTGGAGGGGCAAAGCAATCATTCCATTTTTGTCTAGGCACAGCTGAGAATAGATGCTATATTTACTGCTGTCGATTTTTTTGAATCCTCATGCACAGCTGTTTCCCTGAGAAACTTTGTCAAAAGTTTGTTTGTCTGGTTTATAGGACAGAGAGCTATCATATGGTAAAAAACCAGCACATGATTTAGCACCACAGTAACAGGGTTTTTTCATAATACCATCTTCCTCCAACACATCCTGCTCTCTTTTGATTAGTGGTATGTTAAGAAATCTTCCAGAATAATCATATAAAAGTTCTTCTCCAGCAGTGATAGCAGCAGCAGCAAAAAGTGCAAGTTTAGGCACCAGTGAGTCAATGCGGACAGGAACCATAAATAAATTTGGCTCACAAGAATGGTTCAGGAACCTGCCTACATTTCCTATATACATAGGATCAACATATGTCTCTATTATCTGTCCATCATACAAGTGTTCCCTCACTGCTATAATATAGTTTGAATCTTGTGGTGTCTGTGCCTGTATTCTTCTACGTGCCTCACTGAGGTTAAGAACTTCACCAGCATATTCACATACAAATCTTCCTTTAGGTATGAACTCTAGTGTGCGGACACCCCAACCCTTCTTAACAGTCTTGAACACCTCAAGCCTGAATTGTAAGCCCCTCTGAATTACCCTGTTTTGACACAACTCGCCACAACGGCACATGGTGTTGCATTCAAAAATAGGCCTAGTATAGTCCACTTCACTTCCTATGTATTTGATGCATGAACTGTTATAGTTTTCACCATGGCGAAGACATGAACAAGTGTTGGCCATGCAGGAAGCAGCAAGACAATTACATCCAGGAAAGGTGATTTCAGAAGGATCAGTATCTTCTCCTGCTCCTGCCACATGCTCTGGACTATACTGCAAAAATATGAAGAATTAAAATAATTTTGACTGAGTATTTTTAAAAGCCTGACCCCTCCCCTAAAGTACACATTAATAAGCTCTTTTTTTATATGTGGGTCCTGTAAAGAAAGGCAAAAAATTAATATACTTCTTTTCCTGTTTAACATTTCACAGGCGCCTAAAGGTGGTAACTGTCTTTCAAATGACCACTGTTCTTCAAGCACCTGGCATGCAAATAAGTAGCCCATAAAATCTTTTCATATTTCATTTTTGGAGAGGGGAAGTGTTTCAAAAGTGAACATGAAAGAAGCCATTAACAATGCAGGAGCTCTAAGTCGTTGATGATGGAACAGATTCAGTGATAACACTAGCTTCCCTTATAATACTGCCCCACAACTGTATCTCAGCTCTGGCCCAAGAGAACCTAGTCATCTCAGAATAAGCAGCCAGTCCATTATCTTTCATTGCTTGGCCTATCAAATAAGATGATTCCACAGGGAGATTATTGTGATGTAGACTTCTAAATGAAGCCAGAAAAAATCCCCTTCTGGATCTATGCCAAAAATCTGGAAACTATTTTTTTTTTAAACTTGAAGATGGATGTCTAAGTGAATTAGCAAGGGGGGGGGGAACTATTACAATGAAAAAAATTAAACTGTTTTAAATTGTTTTTCGCTAATTGTGTAGATGAACTCGAGACCAGCTTTTAAAATGCAAATCCTTGTCCACATGGATTTAGGAAGACTATGAAGAATAATGATTTAATTCCTAAAAACAGTCCATTGACTAAACCATAACAACCCACACAAAGCTAATGTGTCTAATTTTATCTACAGTGACCAGACAAGAGTGAGATTATTTTGAGCAACAAAGGAATCCCTCAAAATAGAAAAGGCATACAATGTGCTACTATTTATTTACATAATGGAACAGAAAGAGAAGCAGATGGTGATGTTAATTTCTTAGTTAATCTACATATATAAATTATTGTGAGATTGAGTAAATTATTTAAACAAAGCATTCCTGTTTGATAAAGCACCACTTAAAACCAATTCAAAAGCTTTCCTATGAGAACCGTTTGACTTACAAAAGTGATGGCTTGAAATTATTTTCTTTTTAATATGTCATCTAAATCTTTACATTTTGAGATGGTAAGCTATCTTGTTGCATTCAGACTTGATTCTAGTGATTTAACTGCTGTAAGAAGAAAGTCTGGCTGGATTTGTGTTCACAACTGTATGCTGATGCATTTGCAGAGGACAAATTTTAGTTGGTGATTGCATTTCAACCTGGTTACCACTGAAGGAAGGGATTTGGTTTAGTTCAGACAACGCAAATCTGCAATTTATGTTTCCAAAATTATGCAAATGTCACTGGCAACCTCAGGTTCACATCAAAGTGAACACTGTGCCGTGAGGTAAGTTGGTTGAAACTTTGCTCAATTTGAGTCAAAATATAGATATTTATTACAAGGTACTCCAGAGACATGTTTGTTTATAGTGTCCAGTTTGAAAAGAATGAGGAGCATATTATCCAGAAACTTTACCTACCAGCATTAGATGCTGTTAAAATGTTACAGTGGCCTATGACTAGTTAAATTCTAGATGCCCAGAAATTACCAATTCATTCAGAGGTTTATTTTCCTCATGAATCAGCAATTTATATTTAAATGAGAACAAGTTCTGATTCTAACACTTACCTTTGATGTTCCCTTATGCCCTGACTATGGAGTTCCTTTATTTTCCTAAAATTTCACCAAAAAAAACCAAAACACATAATTTAAGATGACTATAATATTTAATCCGATAAAAGGCTCCAGTTTCATTAGAATAATATAGGTTGTTTAATTCCATTTTGCTATGAATCCAAAATCTAAGTAGTCATACCCCTGGTGAAAATTATTTCTAACTAGTATAAATAGTTTAGAAAAGATTTTGGTTACATTAGGAACTGGATCAGACCTGCGGATGAAAAGTGACGGTTTCAAAACTTTTATATATTTTATTGTTAACCAACTCACATAGTACAGCCCTATAAAATGCCTGCCAAAAATATCAAGTTCTTTCCTTCTGTTTACTTAAAGAATAACAATACCTCCTGCTATCAATTAGCCTATAGCAATACATTTTATTGCTGGAGACCAGGAGGTGAGGAGGTTTAGGACCAAGGAGAAGAGCTTTTCAATTAAGATATAGGGTTTTCCCTTTTTAAAGAGGGCAAAATGCCATTTTTAACCTGAGATCAGCTGACATTCCCTCAATTCCCCATTAATCTATATAGAGATGGTACTTTTTTTTATGCTAACATTACTTTTCAAAAAAGTAATTTATTTAAACTATTTGCTGAGTCTTGTAGGTGCAGCATTTGATCATGCTTTCTTATGCTTTTTAAAAGGCCAAGTGGCTGCTAGAAAGCAAAATAAGGTAAATAAGCACAGCCACATAAGCAGTGCATTCACAAAGAAAATACTTAAAAATACATGTTTCAGCTACATTCTATCTACTTAGATATTATCTTTTTGAACATAAGTGGAAGAGCCAATCATGTAAGTGGTGTTTTATTTTTGAAGGTTACTGGAAATGTAGCCATTCTGTTCTAGATATAAAATGTTGCCCTGGCTGATCCCAAGATACTATAAAAGCAAGGTGAGTCGGGTAATATCTTTTATTGGACCAACTTCTTGAACTCAACCTTCTTAAAGTTACCCAACGAAAGATACCACTTCACCCCCTGCCGCTCTAGATACAAGTGAGGATTTCCTGTGCCCAGATTTGATTAGGAAGGGGCACATCTTAGATCCCCTCTCCTATAACTAGTATCCTCATCCAGCCTGAAGAAGCCAACGGGAAGCTAGGTGTTTCAGGATCGGGGCCCGCAATCCCAACCTCCTCTGCAGCGCTGGATTGATGGAACTAGTGCTTGTGCAAACAGGTGTCACGCTACACCCAGCTTGCAGGGTTGTACCCATTCCCCTCTCCCCAGCCTGGGAACCCATGGGTGTGACTGGTGCCGTTTGGGTGGGTGTAGGGGGCGGGACCAGCTCGTGGCAGGCTCGTGTTTCAGGATCGGGGCCCGCAATCCCAACCTCCTCTGCAGCGCTGGATTGATGGAACTAGTGCTTGTGCAAACAGGTGTCACGCTACACCCAGCTTGCAGGGTTGTACCCATTCCCCTCTCCCCAGCCTGGGAACCCATGGGTGTGACTGGTGCCGTTTGGGTGGGTGTAGGGGGCGGGACCAGCTCGTGGCAGGCTCAGTGCCCCATATGCGGATGAGGCTGCCGGGAGGCGGCAGGGGACCGGCCCACGACTGACCCCACACG